AACCACTGAACGACAAGTTCACTGTCTGTTTGACTGGCTGAGGACGACAATAGGAACAGAAATGGTAGTATAGGCAGATAGTATTGCCGGCAAATACAGCTGTCGGTGCCTCTGTCGAGTCCCAGGGCAAAATGGGACAGATTAGTCCAATTTGCGGTTCAATGAATGTTCATCAACGAGTATCAATATTGCTTGAGCTAAACTGACAAGACAACGAGTTAGTGGCGTAATGGTTAGGGCGTTTTACTCTGACCCAAACGGTCGCAAGTGCGAGTCTCAGATGAGACCCCATTTAGTCTGGGTACGGCCGGTCTCCCTTGCCTTTGCCGGCACAGCTGCTAGCAGTATAGACGGGAGAATTATAGCGACAAGGACTGGGGAGACTGGGATGGGCATTTATGGCTTATTAGCCGTTATCAACCAGTCATACTCAATTCCAGGTAGTGCACCACCCGAGGATCAATGTTAAGAGCGTTTGATTTCAAATCAACAGATCGTGAGTTCGACCCTTCAGTGTTGCACGGCCAGGGGCTGGGTACGGCTGGATGATGACGGCTAATATGCTCGAAGTGGCCATTCTAGTCTCCCCTGTCTTTTTTGACAGTGTGCAGTTAACACGAACCCAAATCTAATTCTGATCCTACTCCCAGCTCTGATTTTAAATTCAACCTTAAACCCGATTATAATCCCACTAATGCTAAACCCCCTTTCCCCGGAATTTTGTGCAAAGCCTGATGTATTATAGGTCTTTTCTGGTCCCGTATTCTGTTTGTTGTTGATTGGCAGTTCTGCGCGTTTGTAGGCAGAAATAATTAATGCCAGCTTGCATTAACCAAAAGGTTATTGGTCCAGCTCTGGTGCGTTTATATTAATCTTCCATGTCGCACTAAATCTGACACATTAACGACAATATACTTGAACAAATTGTAGTTCAGTATTTGCCTGACGCGGTCCTATTAACCAAATGCAGTGTACTTTATAAACTGAGCATTATAGCCCCTTATGAATAATGCCATCAGTGTGTAGAATTCATAAAGACAGCTATGCAGGTGCAGAAATGCGTTTTTTAAATGTGTGAATCGGAGCGCGTTTCCGCATATGTGACTACTTTCTGTCGTAATTCTACTTTTCTCGTCACAATAGTACCATTGGGACTGAGAGACAAATCTCTAGGACGGCAGAATAACAACCTACAGCCTGCATACGATGACTCTTCGTCTTGGCGCATCGAATGTCCCATGACGATGCGAGTCAACGACCAGTCAGAACCACGGACTGTAGCCATTGGTTAATTGCCTACTCAGCTGTACGCTCATTGGCTAGCGTATTTTAATGCTAGTTTCCCATGTTTGCGTAGTTGACGGCGCACTGCACTGCGCCGGCCAGTGGTGGCCGATGCGCGTTTTACCCCGCCGAGTTACGCCCAAACGTGCTATACTGACGCTGGTGTCCCTGGGCCTGCTTAGCGTCCTGCTCAGGATTCCACTAAGGCTACCTTTTATTAGTCAGAATGAAGACAATCACATCGCCTACCAAGCGGAGGATGTGGAAGAAAATGCCAGTTTACCTAAAAGGCATTGCAGGCTGCCGCCGCTAGAAATCTGGCCAGGTGACTTGCAACAGTCGAAGAAGGACGGCGAACCCTCACCGTTAAATTGCAGTCTCACTGGTCTCCAGTTTGTCGTGGAACAGGCCACGGGTGGTCCACCATCATACCCACCATCTCTCCTCTCCCTGGAGGCCCGGTTAGATCGCGGCGTTCTGCGCCTACGGAAGGTGGACAAATCATCACCGCCTATCCGTTGTGACCTTTTCCCCATCATTCGGCTGGATGACTTTCGATCAATATACGGCGAGGTAGAGGAAGAGGTTCGCGATGGGCACAGACCGCGGCATCCGCACAACATGCTTCTCTGTCAGCCGGTAGCGAATTTCTTTCCCGGGAAACTATTTAACTGGCGTAGGGAGAGCCTTCTCAGCCAGAAACGCTTCTTCTTTTGTGGGAGTTCGCCCGCTCCTGCTGTAGAACCGGTGAAGCATGAGGACTTATCAAATGTTCTGCTGTTAGGCATCGACTCCCTCTCGCGACTCTCCTGGTTGCGATATCTGCCTCGAACTATGGGCCTGCTGCAACGACTGGTGCAAGATCGGGGAGGCATCTTCAATCTCTTCAACATTGTCGGAGATGGCACCACTGCGAATCTGTTGGCTCTGTTAACTGGGTACTTTGAACAGGAGTTGCCTGAGGCCAGGCGGTTTGTGGCTGAAATCATGCCTGGCCAGGCAGGACTCCTAGACGCCTCGCTGAGTAAGGAGAGTGATCGAAGTGAGATAGCAAGCAGCACGGTGCTGGATGACTTTCCGTGGATTTGGGGGGAGTATGCCGGGCGTGGAGGCTATGCTACGCACTACATCGAAGACACCACCAATTATGGCACCTTCCAGTATCGCCTAAGGGGATTCGGCTCTAAGAAGACACCGGTGGACAGCTATGGCAGGCCATGTCTCGTTGCTGCGGCTCAAGACGAAGCGAGATATGGCAAGAGGCTGGGCTGTACAGCCTCCACGTGAGTAACTTCGCCATCAAATGAACTGCTTTTAGTTGCTATGCCGTCGAGAGCTACTTGAGATTTATTTTAATTGGTCACTGTAGTTTGTCGAAAGGGCAGTCGGACGAGGTTTCCCAAACCAAAAGTCAGGAAAGACGGAGCCCTTGAAAGGCTTTACGGAAGCGTACACGTGACTCAGCATGTAGCCGCAGCGGCCATTCTATTCTGCCAAGCGCGAGTCATTTAAGGTTGTCAGGTTTGGCGCGAAATGCTTGCTTGCGCCTTGGCTTTGCTTACTTACAGTCAATCAGAGAGGGAAAATACGCTTTATTATGAAAGTAGTACCACAGTTTTCAGCAAAAATGGCTAAGTATTAGGGAGGAGGGAGATTGTTAGATTTGGATAATTCAATTGGCCCAATTGCAAAAACCTCGCGACCTAAGTGGGTCAACTGAATTTTTCAACTCTCCCCCCCGCCCTATTAATTAAATTAGCCTTCTAGTCATTCTGGTGGATTCTAGATGAGTACTTAGGAAATCCTGCCTGGGCAGTCAGCTTTCTGTGTCTGTAATGGTCCATTCTATACGATAATTAGGTTGGGCGGGTAAATCGACCCAAGTGTGATTAAATT